TAGCCAATATTAATATATATTTGAGTCTGTGTCTTTTAAGGGTAGTTAGGTCTTTTACTTATCTAGGGCATCTTTATATGCCTATATATTGTAAGCTTACAGCTGCTGTATATTAATTAATTGTTTTGTGAATATATTGGCATTCTCTGCTTCTGCTTGAATTGTTCACAATTTTTATTTTTTTTCTCCTCCTTTTCTCTCGACTGTTCTTCGTCTCTCTTCTCTGCAACCCCTTCTTTATCAATAAGGACCCCTTTAAATCCAATTTAACAAGATCCCAATTTGGAACTTTAAATCCAAACCCATAACTGGAGAAGTTAGACCTCTAATCATTGTATGTTGCAACAAATGGGTTCAGCTTTTTGTTGGCTGGGTTCGACGGGGAAGATGGAAGGCCAGAGGGAGGGTGGCTCGGTTGGTGTACGGTGCTGGGTTGAGGCTGCTGAGCAGTGCCAGTGAGCAATTTGGACAGAAGAGGAAGATGACCATATCGAAAGAAAATATTCTAATGGCCAAAGTGATTTTAAAGCTCTGGGTATGGAGATTCAGAGAGAGCCTCCAAATTGATTTTCCAATGTAGATACAAAACCCACAAAGTAAATAACAACCTGTTGCTATTTAACTTGGTCTTGAAGGACAAGAAGAAGAAGAAGACTCGCAGAGAAAAAACAGAGAGAAAAAAAAAAAAAAAAAAAAAAAAAAAAAAAAAAAAAAAGAAGAAAGAAGAAAGAGAAAAGATAGATAGAGGAAGAAGATGAGGAAAAGGCAAACAGATAGAAGTGGTGGAGAGAAGAGAATATTATTAGGGGCAATAAGAAAATTAATTAAAGGCAATCTTGGTATTTAAGAACAGGCATTAATGCCTCCGCATGCTTTATTTCACAGCAGCTTTGAGAAGCATCTCGATGGCTGCTTCTGAAAAACGCAGTGAGAGACCCTCCGCTTCTCTTCGAAGCAGCTTCTCACATGTTTACCAAACAGCAAAATCATAAAAATAGCTTATTTATGTACATGGCCCCTGTGTTTTTAAATTTGTTCATATTACTACATGTGTTTGCAAACGTCTCAAAATATCCCCCAAACTTTTAAAAATGGTCTTACGTTACCTGTTCCGTTTCGTGCCTTGGGCCCCACTTCGTTTTAATCTTTAATGTCTTCAGGTTTTTCAGTTCTAAGAAAGGGAGGAGAAGAAAATTGCTTTTTTTTGGGGCGGGGGGGATAAATACTTTTTTTTGTTGCTCATTTTCTACAACTTTCTCCACACACCAAAAAAAAATAAATAATAATAATAATAATAATAATAAAATCAATTTAAAATTAACAAAAAGTGAAAAATGTGGGACCCACAGTGCCACTTTGGCAACTAACAAATTTAAAAGACCGGGGTATGTTATTGTAAAAATTAAGAAGGTAGGGACTAACATGTCTTAAGAGTGTAACCACAGGGTACTAAACTGTAATTAACTCTATAATTAATCCCTTCTGAAAGAAAAACAAGTAGCACATATTTATATGATTTATTCTAAGAATCAAAAAACAAAACAAAAAAGTATATAAATTTTTTTGTGCCAAACATATTTACTGGCCTCAGTGTAGAAATTATATAAATGTATAATTCCTTTTCGTTATGCAATTAACTTCATTTCACTACCACTTGTGTTTCATGAATCGTGACGCATTGACATAGATGTTTTAATTTTAATTTCTTTTAGGTCGGTGTATCAAATAAAACTCACAACGATATTACTGACATAAGGCTACATGACAATATGACTAACATCAGGCTTTCCTTTCACAATGACCCGTTTATTTTTGTTTTAAAGAATGACCAAAAACCTTTAATATATTCATCCGCCTGTTTGACTCGTATGAACGTGCATATATAACAGCTAAAACTTGGCTAGGGTGGAGTTGATTAACTTTCATTTCCTCATACCAGAGATCGGGATTGGGATCTCCCAATTGCTTCCGACACTTGGTGCTCTCTTCGCGATGGGCGCAGAGGTGATGAGGAGGAGACAGGCGGGGATGAGTAGTGCCTCTCCGCGTAACGTGTTCAGATCATCCACCGCTGCCTCTCCTAAAATACAGAGACCGGCCGATTCTCCTGTAAGCGTTCTTCTGTTTGGTCTGGTCTTCGGGCTATTGTTCCTTTGCTCTGTTTCCCTCCTGATGTGGCTCTTCTTTAAGCCCTAAAGTGCATGGCTTCTTTCGTTCCTCATAATCATCGGGTTCAGCCCTCTGGTTGCGCCAGTTTCTTTCTGATTTATGTAATCGAATAACTCAAATTGTGTTGAGGAGCAGTTAGTTTGGATTTCTTCTCTGATGTTCAGTTTTCTTTATCTTTAGGCTTATGAAGCAAGACTTAGTAAGCAAGTTGCGGTTCCTTGGCATGGTTGGTTGTGACTTTTGAATTGTATTCTTTTACAATAGCACATATGGATGTAACTAATTTATTTGGATCCAACCTGCCTTTTTGTTTGTATGAGTTTGATATTCCGGGAGGGAAGAAAATGGTCGCAGGCTCACAGAGCTCTAACCTTTTCACAGCACATTTGCTCACAGCTATATTTTTTTTTAGTGTAAAACAATTGCTTCCTTAAAAATGACTTCGCGGTTATGTTTTTTACCTTTAAATACTGTTCAATAATTTGGCTCAATTTGGATGGAGAAAACTAATTTTGATATAAATAAAAAAATATTAAGTGCTTTCTGTTATTTAATATGGCACCACGCCAAAAAAAAAAGGCAAATTAGGGGCGGAATCGAGGCAGATGATGAAAATTGAATTTTGTATAGAAGATCAATTTCATACCTGCAATTGCACATGGATCAATATTGAAAGCTGTACATACTCATTTATTAAGAGGAAACTTTTTTTTTTTTTTTTTTTTAAAGGGGGACAGCTGGTGGCAAGCCACGGCCATCCACCCCTTCCGGGACCCGGAGAGGCTATAGGGAATTTCACCCCGTCCCTGGCCCTCATCGCTTGATTCACCAACGGCAGGAATCGAACCCAGGATCTCCCGTTTACATAGGGCCTGGGAAACGCCCTTACCACTGGGCCAACCCGTGAGGGTTTTATTAAGAGGAAACTTAAATCAAACAAAAGCTTTATTAAACTCATAGGATGGTCCAACAAAAAATTAAAAAGGCAAGAATTAACTAAAAAAGTATTAGCCGCGAGGCTTAACTGTATAGTATGTCTGTAAGGAAGTGAGAAGGAGAAGGAAAATTCCAGCCATGAGTGATATGACTTTCCATGTGGTAGAGAAATAGGTGGTGCAAAGGATTCTCTTCTGCCTTTTAAATTGCACCCTAAAAAATACTCGAAGTCTGCTCAAACTATACCAGGACATACGGTATTCATTCACTTTGTCGAACAAATCACCAAAGCAGTAGTCGTCCTTCATGGCAACTTGATCTAGAATGCTTTCAAATTGAGCCAAATATTCTTTGTCTCCCATTCGAATATTTTGCTCTATGATATTTCTTGTCCGGAGCAGGTTGATGTCCCGTGAGGAACCGATGAGGCTCTTCAAGAGGAAGGCATATGATGTAACGCTATGCATGCTGCTAAGACTGCATTGCTCATAAGCAATCAGGTTCCTGAGGAGTGAACTCGTTGTCTCGTAAATTCGAACTTGGGGAATTATAACCACCCCAGCCTTGAAACTTATTTCCAACAAATATCCCTGCGTGCTTGACCCAACTTGAAGCTCGATCCCAGACTCCAAAAGATCCGAAGCGCAATACTTGAATCCCCACTTCTCATCGCTCGCTGGATTGCGTTGACGATGACTAGGAAGGCGTGGAGTTTGCTGTTCTCTTTTTGTTTTGCTGACAAGGCATGGAACTATTTTTTGCAGTATACCGGGACGATGTTCGTTCTCTGAAATGGATCCCACAGGGATGGACAAGTGACCGGGTGGGTGAAAGTAGAATTTGTGCAAGAGATCTAGCAAATGCTTAAACCCTGTGCCCTCGGGCTCTTCGTTGATGAACTTCTTTTGGCTCAAAGGCTGGAAGAAGTTAAGAGCAAGGGAAGCGACCAAGTCTGGTGCTTTGCACTTGGTGATGATATGAGGCTTGATTGTATCATACAAAAGTTCGAGAATGAAAAAGGGTATCTGGTTTTCCAGTAATGCCAGATCATGCTGAAGAGCTTCAGTCATCCAAGCACTTCTCAATACTTGATCATAATTGAGATCTTGTTGCTTCATGTAATTTAAGTTGCGGTCAAACCGAAGGAAAAGTTCCAATATGAAGCAACCATCAAGTAACATTATTTCTGCAAGCTCATACTCTGTGTAGGTGATCTTTTCAGTGTAGCACTGGCGAATTACTTCATCTAAACCATGAATCGCATTGATGCACTCTTCCAAGCATATCGTAGCGCAATTTCTAGAGTGTTCTTCACTGGCATCTATTGCTTGCTGGTCGAGAAAGGATAGCAAGTAAGACCATTTGTATTGGACCATGGGTGCCAGGTTCTGGTTGTCTTGATGCAATGGTCCGATTGAGACAACGCCAGGGCGGTAGGCATCCTCCTTCACTTGTCGAAGTTTATCTGGAACTCTGTAGATACAATATTCCCCTCTTATTTTTCCCTTTCTTCCGCGGCCATAGTGGCTCAAGTATTCTCTCTGGTGCACATTGCCCAGCTTACCAATAAGAGTCTTCTTCCATTCATCTTTCTGTGTCTGTGTATCATCATCAAGGCTTTCCTCTTGTTTCTGCTTGCTTAAGCTGAACATGCAGGAGATCACAGAGGAGGAGGAGGGAAGCTGATTAAGGGAAACAACAAGAGAAAATGTGTAATTAATTTCGACCGTAAAATATAACCTTTCCTTAATCAATATGTTGATTCAAAAGCAAAGTATTAGAGAGATCGAGATGATCAGTTACCTGAAATCTTCCTTTAGACTTACTCATCTCAGACAATTTCCCTTTGTGTCCGGCGACCACCAATCTGAGCTTCCCTGAAGGTCAATTGAGTTAATATTATTGCCTTTAGTTAATTTAATTTGTAGACCAACTCTGAAGATAAAATAATATAAGAAAAGAAGACGACTTCCATCCGCACGTTAAGCCCTTAATATATAGCCCCAAAAAATAAAAAAAAGATATGCAATTCATTTTCATTATTATGTATCAACTTCATTTCATTACAATCTGTACATGTTTCGTGTTCCATTAAGTATTAGTCTTTGACTTGAGAGATACTCATGAGCCTAGAGGAAAAGAGGCAAATACTAGATCAACTTGCAATAAACATACATTTGCCTTGCTTTTGACAGCGCCAGAGTCTCCACTTATTAGTAATTTAATTTTTAGGACGACTTATTAGTCTTTGTTTAAAGAACTCCTATTATGACCAAACTTTTTTTTTCCCAACATGTATGGAATTTCCACATATGGAGTGTCACTCCTCCATTAAGTACTAATTAGTCTTAGTCTTTTTTAACATATGGAATTTCCTAAAGATGGTCAGACGAATGTAAGTGACAAAAAGAGGCAAAGGTAGGTAGATCAACTTGCAATATACATTGCCAGAGTCTCCACTTATTTAATTTATAGGGCGACTTAGTCTTTACTTAAATGTATAATTTATCTGATTCATATTTAACTGTCTCTCTCTTCTGTTTTGGTGTCAGGCTTACAGTTTGAAAGGCTTCCCAGAGAGGCCTTTTACATCCCTTTGGAAAAGGTGTGAAAATCAAAATGTTCAAGGAAAGAGAGGGAGGTAGGTGCAATGTTAAAATCCGGCTTCAAAACAAGTTAGAAGTAGCCCGGAATTTGAATCTGTGTGATGGTAAAAAAACTTGCTCTAAATCTTGCTAACCGTAGAAACGAAAGTGAACTGAGGAAGTTCTGTTTCTCATTTTTGGATATGCAAAACAAAAACTAATGGAAAATTATTGTAGAGTTGATTGGTTTGAGCACGAGTTGCATGCTACCAGGGTCACAAATTAAACATGTGATGTGTGCTGGTTGTGCAAATTCAACTCATTCGGTATCTTTGTAATTACATTTTCTTTACAATGTCGATGAAATGAAAACCTCAAGCTTAGAGAGAAAACAATATATATCTATGTCTGATGAATTTCCCTTTTGAATTCATTTTAGCAGATTAACACACACATCAAAACAATTGGAAATAGATGATGGGAACAGAGTTGCAGATTCATTATACAGAAAGAACCTTTTTTATTTTATTTGGTACCAAACACGCATTCATTTGTTTGTATTCCAACGTCAACCAAGGGGTAATTAACAAAGACTATACTTAAATAACAACTCCTTTTTTTCCTTCTTTTTTCACTCCAACTGTTTGCATCCGGTCTTAGCGCACACACACTGTACATTTCTAATTACTAATTAACACATGGAATATGTGGAAATAAATATCACATTGTCTGATCATTGTCTCCCAGCTGATCATTAAGCGTATTTCAACTGTTAGGAAGTTGGTTCACGTGAAAACGCCTTTCAAAACGCCTCGCCCTATGTCACTATGTGTTGTGTTGGCCTGTCTAATTTCCACGAGCCAACTGTATTAGGAAGTTAGTTCACATGCTCTTCACATATTGTTCAGTTGTTAAATCTCAGCTGAGCACAAATATAAAATATAGATGTACTGTTCATTACAAAATAGAATAAATAAATTATTTGTTGATGTGTGGTGCTATGCTTAATCGGGCAAATACACAACAATTGCATGTTTTTTATTTTATTTTTTTCTCCGGAAAGTTGAAGATGCCAATTCGAAGCATTATTGACTTGCACATACATATCTCCTACAATCGTGATTTTGGGCGCACCAAGCATTCTATTATACAACCGTCCTAGCAAGCATTTCACATGGTTTTTATTGGAGGGTCGGGATAATCCCGTCCAACCAATCATATAATTGACTGCGATATATTTTAGTAGCAAATTATTAATTAAGTAGATTTTTATTATTTTTTTACAACAGAAGGTATTCAAAACAACATAATTCATCTTCATCGATGAAAAAAAAAACATAATTCATCCACAACAAACTTATGACATAATGAAGTATTGAACTCACCACAAATATGTATTCATGTGCATCTAACATGAGATCTTCTCCAATCAAATGGAGGAGACAACTACCAATATAGTAAATTCAGTGAAAAAAACCACACACACACACACACAAAAAAAAAAATGTCCTTCGCAAATTGGAGACTTTTCTAAGTATTTGGAGTGGGTGAATAATATATATTGAGAAATTCCTCAAATAATCTTATTTGAGCAACACCTTGTGGGGCCCATTAAAAAATCTATTTTAACTATCCGAACGTTTATTTTTCTAGTCTTCATTCATAGATCATCCTTGCAAAAAATAAAAAATAAAAAAATTCGTCCAATCAGAAACTATTAAGACATCTAGTTGTGGCCAACAAAATCAATGAACATAGTACTTAAGAAAACACTAAAATAACAACTATTAAATTGAGTGGTCAAATGGATTTGAATTCAAGTGATTTTTTGCATATATGATCTTTGAATGAATACCTAAAAAAATATAGTTCAAAACATTGGAATACAATGTGCAATGTGCCCCATAAGATGTTCCTCAAGTAAACTTATTTGAGGGAATTTGTATGTGTGTATATATAGGACTTGGTAAAATTAAGTTTACATTCCTCAAGTAAGAATCTTTCTTCAAGCCCAAATACTCTTCCAAGACCTTTTTTTGTTTTTCAAGTCCAAAAAATAAAATTTTGTTGGAATTTATGTAAAAATAATAATTTGAAAAAATAATAATAATAATCCAGTCCAAAATCAAACCGAATCAAAAAGTGGACTGGAATTGGTTCAAACCAAACCAGCCAGTTTTATAATTTTTTTTAACTAAAATTGAACTGAATCGGACCGGTTAAATAATATCAATTTCGATTTCGATTTGAAGTGGGAACCAGACCGCGCCCACCCCTGTAGAAATGCTTACAATCTAGGCGTATTACAAATACACTTGAGGGAAAAAAAGAAAAATTCAAAGACCAAAGTGGTAAACAAAAAAGTTCAAGGAAACCACATGCGGGATCTATGATTAATTTAAAATTTTGGATAACCTATGACGAAAAGCTATGACGTATGTCACTTACCTAAGCAGCAGCGGCAACAACTTTCAAATTCATTGCATGCTTAGCTGGAAAAATATTGAAGACTGCTAAATAATTGGAAGCATTATTGACTACTATATATACATGTCCTAGTAAACAACCCCATATGATTTTACCATATGAGCATAATTACTTCTTATTTTCTAAGCTTTGACCGATTCGCAAGAAATATAAATAATATATCTTAATTTATTTGGACCAACCACACATTTGTTTGTATCTTACTGACATTTGATCCAGCGAAGGAGGAGCCAGGAGGGAAGACAAAGTTGTTTGTATTCCGACGTCAACGAAGGGGTAATAAAAAAGATAGACTCAACTTTTGTTTTCTCCCAATTGGTGTCTGATGTTGCGCACCAACCATATCACGGTCATTCTCTTACAACTTGTTTATATATCAAATAATGCATCATCTGGTCGTGGTTGTTATGGTCACTTTAACTATAAATTTTATAAAAACAAATTAATCTATGGTTCCTACATTCAAAGGAAACGAAGGACCCGCTTCCTCTCTCAAGCTAACTTTCTTCCCACTACTCCGCCTCCATTTACATCTCTCCTCAATCTAGGGTTCTTCTGGAGATGACGGACAAGAGCAAACCGACGAATAACATGCCTATAGATCATGACCATCGCTCCAAGAAACAGAAAGTGAATGCTGATGATTCTTCCTCATGGAACCAATTTGCTAACAATCCAACCCAACACTCTACAACGGAAACTGCTGCTCAGCGCTCTACCATCCTGGACTTCCAGCGTATGGCTGACTTACTCAGAATCTCTATATGCTACTGTTGTCAAGGCTTCAAATTATATGTTTACTTGTTTTTTTTTTTTTTTTATAGACATTTTATTAATTTTTCCTTAACTCAAGAATCAAGAACCTCACCTCTTTTTTTGGTTTCATTATTAATTGTTCTTAGAGAATCACCAATATGATTCGCAAGGAGTTATAGTGCATGGACCGTCGTCTAGGGAATCGAGCCTCCGAAGATTGGTTGAGCAAGTTATAAGTAAGCTGCCTGATAACAAGAACATAAAAGAAGATAAGGGAGGTATTTGGTTGGTAGTGCATCTTAGGAGTCGTTATTGATCAGCTATTTGGTTGTTGTGATGTTCGAATTTTTATCTCCACAAGTAAATTAGGGGAACCCCTTTTGTTTTGCTTGCTAAATAAAATTAAATTTGTTTCGATTTGCTTTAAGTGATCTTATTTGCAAAAGTGGTTCACATGTGATGTAACGGCCATGGAAGAGGCAAACGTTCAACATTTTATATAGATTCCATTTTGTCGTCCCACCCACCATATTCTAGTTAGTACGAGCTTTCCAGATGACTAAGTATTGTTGCCCTTTAGCCTAACTATGAAAATGAAATACAACAATAGAAATGGACTCTTGCTCCATAAATTGAGAAAGCAGAAAGATGGTACAGACTCATTATGTCTTTTATTTGTTTGCAGTAAGATACATAATAGAAATTCATAGAATCAAAGTTCTTGAAGTTTAGGAGAAACACCAATGACGGCCCCTTTTTTTATTTTGGAAAAAACTTGGTAGAATGTAGCGATAGATCTCTTCGGTTTTATGGCTAAATTCTTATAAATGAATTGCGCTTGATCGAATCGATCCTCTGACAGGACCCGCCCCGGAATTTCCCCCGAAACCGGGGCGGACCCCGTATTGTTGCCGACATCACACCGATGCCGGGCCCACTTACTAAAACCCAAGACATTCTACCAAAATTTTGGCAGAGTCTCCCCTGTAAAATGCCCAAACCAACAGTAAACAACCTGCAATAATTTACATCAATATACAACCCAACTGCCAGCATGCTTTTAAC